GGAGGGGCTCACAGCGTTACCCCTCAGGCGAAGTGAAGGGGGCGCGGAGAGCTGAGCTGCGGAACCTTCCCGCTTCTGTCTGGGATCCGTTCTCCGCCTGAAGCCAATGTTGCTTCTTCCGCTTCTTCCGCGCTCGGCCAACGCTCGGCTTCCTCTACGGAAGAGCCACTAGGCTGAGAGTGGACGTGGGATCAGGCATCTCCAGAGACCAGGGACAAAGCCTTCCTTGGAATCCAAGAGAGCCGACTGCTTTCTCTTCTAGTGGATATTTACAGCGCTGCAACCCAATTAATTGAAATTCTCATTTCCCTTACCAGTCCAGCAATGAATTTTAAAGTGTGGCTACCTATGGTAAAATTACCTTCTGTAGATTCACATTCCAGCCCCCCCCGAGGACGATGACACTTGCTCCGTAGGTGAGCAGCTGCCACCAGAGACCCAAACCATGCAAGGTTCTGTTTAAACTAAACAAGGCCCCCCCGCCCCGTGCAAATCCAGCGGCAACCCTACCCAGGACTGGCACCAACACTGGTATCATCTTCACAGAAGAAAATAGCGACGGTGCCACCGAGTTGTACATTACCATACCATGCGTTTCTCCTGCATCGCAGTGTGATTCTGTTTTGGGGGGTTTGCCCTTTTCTAAAAAAAAACAAAAACAAAAACCAAAACCAAACAAAACCACAAACTTGATACATGTGAAATGTCCTCATAGCTGTACTAACTTAAAACTACCCAAAGCAGTGTCAAATTTGGGGGCTACACAACTTAGTAGCAGGCTTTTAAGGGATTGCATCCACAGCACAGAGGAAGCAATTCAAAGCCAACCTCCCCTGCCGCAGGAAGAAGGCAGTTATCACGATTATTGCCTAGAGTCACATGGCATACAACAGCACATGCAGGACTTGCCGCTGCTAACAAAATTGTGTTAACCGAGCCCACATGAACACGTGAGGAAGTCAGCAGAGCAACATCGCAGTGGGAGGGCCTGCAGCACTGAAGATCACCCTCGGTGGAGGAGGAGCCCTTTAGGGGACATCTGAATAAACCGGACACAAACAAGTTTGTGAGTCCTGGTGGGATGCACCTGTGAGCCCTGAGGGAGCTGGCCTGTGCCAGCGTAAAGCCGAGCTCAGTCATCTTTGAAAGGTCACAGCGATCGGGAGAGTCCAGATGACAGGAGGAATGGAAACCCCACTCCTCCCCCCCTTCAGGGAGGAGGATGAGGGTAGTGACAAGGCTGGCTGGTCTCCCCTGAGCTTGTTTTCCCTCCTGCCTGTCATCCTGTCATTCCTGGACAGAAAAGAGAACATGGACTTGAACAGTCACACCCCATTCTTCACAGAACTTCAGACAGCCTAACCCCCTCAACGGGCAGGTGGACAAATTGGTTTGCACACAGATGCTTGCAGCCTCGCTGCCTCCTTGCGGCAGCACCCCCAGGACCACTGGTGCTAAAAAGTCAGGAATTGTTTTATCTGCAGTTTCTACCCCATCACAAAGGCAGCAGGGTCCGAAATCTCCCAATGAACTTCCAGTGCAATCAGCAACGGCAGAAGGGGTCTCAGGAAAGAAACGTTCCTCAGTACCTCTGCCAGAAGGACAACTTCAGACAGCCTAACCCCCTCAACGGGCAGGTGGACAAATTGGTTTGCACACAGATGCTTCGTAGCGTAGAAGGAACAACGACGAGACTGCCAGCTCTTTAAGTAGTTTTATAAAAGTATTTGACTTACTGAGATACTGTTACAGTTACCTGAGTATTTGAAATTACAATGCAAGGAAATTTCAACGATGAATTTCAGTACAGTATTTTACAATCCAGTGCTGCTGATCCCAGCTCATACACGAGTTCACTAGAGCACATATACACAAACAGTGATTTTTGGAGAAAATTAAAAGACACCACAGAAAGGGGGCTGGAGATACCAACATAACAGAGTCGAGATTACAAATCCAGTGCAGCATGTAACAGAACTGCCAACAAAAAAGAAATTAAACAAGTCTGTTTTTGTTTCACTTCTCTCAGAATAATAAAAACGACTTTTTTTTTTTTTAACACAAGTAACTGGATAAAAAACAAACCCCAACAACGTCCACACTAGATCAGATGAAGACATAACCATTTACTGTGCATATTAACATTTCCTGAGCTACCCGGGACAATAAGGCTTCGTTAACTCTTAGATCAGCAGCTCAGCATTTAATTTTCTCATGTCATTCTCATAAGGCAAAATTCTAAATAAGTTATTTTTAATACTTGAAAGTTAGGCTCCACTGGCAGTTGCATATGGATGTACATTTGTGATGTACTATGAATTCATGCAGCTCAGGCTGCTAACTCAAAGCAGTGGGAGACAAATTCATTATCTCTGCTGAAAATCTCACTCCTAAATCCAATTCCCGACACCCAATTATCTGGGATACCAGATGCAGTGGACTCATCCACACGCCGTTCTCACCAGAAAGAACAGGAAAGCACACCAGTGCCTTACATTAATTCCTTTTTATTTCTACACAACATGCTGTAAAAAATTACCAGATTTGTTGGCATTTGCAGCGCTGACAAAGTAAAATGCCTGAGTAATCCCACCCTCTGCCTTCTGAAATACGGCCAATTCAACACAGTAAAGTTGCTTTAAATGTCTTATATTTTGGCCAAGTCCAATGTTTCACAGATTATTCCCTGCCTCCCCACCCCCCAATGAATTATTTGTGATATTTTAAAACCACATCTGGTGCTTGGGATATCCAGCCCCCTCTCCCCCACCCTAATACAGCAGAAGAGACGTATCAACATGCCATTTAAATTAAAGAAAAATGGAATAAGTGGAATTCTGGACTGCAAAAATATATACAAGCATTTACCTTTTTCCTGAACTAAACATTTCAACCATAAAAATATTAAACAGCCGTACCCTATAGAACTAGGGCTAAGGCTATTTCAATTATAACTATTCTTTATTTTAAAAATATAGGGCTGAAAGCCTTTTGGGTGATATTTATACATTAACAACATTTCTAGGTTCCCTACATGAATGATAAAGCATTATGCAGAACACAGACTATTTTTCATACCTTAATCTTGCATTATCTTGCTTAATTTAATCTCTCTTGTAAATATGTTAGATAACTACACTTCATTGTAAGAATTAATATAAACAGAAAATATTTATAAGGCCTTTTTTCTCCTCACGAGCTGCATACTGTCATCTATCCATCAAATGTGTTGAAGTTGGCAGATTTTCCTCCTAGTAAACCACGAAGCCGGGTTGGCTCCTGCCACCAATGAAACTGTGGAAGAGGGTCACCGCTGCATCCTCAGGAGCTCTTCTCCACGCCTGTATTAGCAGACGCGTGACAAAAGAGCTACTCACTCTGAAGCCTTAATCATTCTGCCTTCCAATACACACGGATCGCTTTGTAGGGCCTGAAGAACCCTTGCAGTCAGTTAAAGACGGTAGTGTCTTTGTTCTTCTCAGGCCTGAATCAGTTTTCCCCCTCTCTTCTAGTTCAGACAGAAGGACCAGCAGGAAAAAAATATTCTTTTCAAGATGGGGAATTCACTTTTACAGCTTCCCACCACCCTGTTTCAGCTCCACTATCTCGGAGCCTCTTGCAAACAGCTCCTGCCCTGACACTTTGAGCTGCAGTTATGCTTTGGCACGTGCCACGCGCCATTTCAAGTGTCAGGTCCCTTACTGTGGCTAACAGCTCATCTCGCCACAGTTCGTTTTCCTCCCCTCCGAGAGGGAAAAAGCCGACCATACCCAAAAAGTGCATTCAGTCTAACGGAGGAGTAAAATGCAAAATGTCATTGTAAACCAGAAGACAACTGAGTATTAACAGATTCTAAAAGGAAGTAAAAGATGTTATTAACCCAACAGGAACTCATCACTGCAGAAGTTACTAGCTATAAGCATCTTAGGGTGAATCAGCTTAGAAACCTCCCCCAAAAACTTTAGTTTCAGTCTTTACAGAACTATTCACTGATGCTCCAGCTTTTCAAAAATCTGTAATCCGTGTCTGAACTTTCTACCCCTCTTAGCCGGTATCGCGCATCAGCTCCTCAGCCAAAATGACAAGCGTTATCATTTCCTGACTCCAGTTTTTGTGTACCTCTTCCTGAGAGCCCAATAAAGTCTTCAGAGCAAACTGACTGCGACACGTAAGAGTAACACTGAGAATAACATCCGTTAACACTTTTGACAAGAAATGTCAGTCTGCAAACGGGAATTGAAACGGAATCAGTGCAATCCCAGGAGGTCTTGTCTTTTGCAAAACAAGTGAAGTACCACAGTGTTAATATTGATTTAAAAGTTAAATTTGTTACACAGAAAAAGATCAGAATTCTTCTGGGGGCACACAGAAATGTTCCAACAACTTTGGGTGGGTGTCTATTTTTGCCAAAATTAGCAGGATTGGGGAAAAAAAAACAACAAAGCAAAGCTTTGCCCTGGATTTGTGCCACAGTTCGACATCCCCTTAACAGCAGCTTGAGTCCAGCTGGCACGTGAGCAGACTCCAGGAGGGGAAAAGAACAGTCTGGCCACACTTGAATTCGGAAAAAAAGAGCTTAAGCAATGAATTTGCTCACGGAACGCAGAGGGTGGTTACGAGCTGGCGCCAAGAACCCTGCTGTAAAGAGGCTTATGATGCTGCTGCAGCATTGCAGCTACCAATGAACTTCCCAGTGCATCAGTAGCAAAAAGTGCTACTAAAAAGGAAAGACAAAACTATTGTTAAAAATCTGTCAGTCATTAAGGACACATTCTAATTAATGAATGGTAAAACAAAGCAGAGCCCAAAGCTGTATTAAACCTCTACTTCGGTCATAATTCTTTTGTAGCCATATCTGATTGCTCATTTGATTTCTGAAAGTGCTCAGTAGAAATCCAGAGTTAATGTGGATAAAACCTCAGGATAACATCCATTTACTTACACATTAGTATTGTTAAATAAATCCAAGTCAAGTCTACTTTACAATGAAGTGTGCAACAAGCAGAAGAAGTGAAGAATGTACATCGTGTTGAGTTCACATTCTTCGAGGGTGCAAATTTTAGCTATTCTTGCCCAAATCCTTCTGTTTCTTCAATTGCAAACAGCAGCTTTTCCTTCAACTGCTCATAATTCTTATATGGTGGAAGGTCTAAGCGATTGAAACTGAAAATAAAGAAAAAAAAAAACTTCAGTACTGAAAAATAATTAAACCACTGCAAAAAAATCCACTATGATTATGGGTAATTGAACTTTCTGCTGTGTTGGTGGATACCTGGATTCACACCCTGTGAAAAGCTGACTGCTGACACAGACGTATGTATGGCTGAGAGCAAAAGTTAGAGTCCGAGCACCTGAACAGTGATAGTTTTCTAGAAATGCAGTGTACTCAGGAAGAAGTTTCACTTTTCCAAGCTGGTTAACCAGAGTCATCATTTGCATTTGAAATTTTAAATCAGCATGGCTTTACGAACCACCTGCGGAACGGAGCAGAAGCTGCCTTTCCTCTAAGGAAGAGGGAGTGTGAATGTGGCTACTTCACTATCAAGGTGGAGTGTAGTGATAACAAAAGATCAGTCCCAACTTTCAACAATACTCTTTACTACTTCAAATTTTCAGTAACACACAAATCCGTGGAATTTACAATGGAATTTACTCCGCGCCACAAGCGTTTTTCACAAGTTCAGCTATTATCCAGCAAAGTTTAGAGGTATAACTTGGTGTTTGCTTTCACAGAGTCTCAAACCATTTAAGCCCATTCACCTGTTCACTCAAATCTCAAAGTAGATGGTTGTCAGCAAAGCCAGACAATGGGAATACTCCGATTTGCTATACACTCACCAGGTATGACTTCTAGGTAACCAGTTTTCCTTCCCAACTTTTTCAATACAAAATTTCTGGGGTCCGTTGCTCCCTGTAACAAATATAAATAAACAAGACATAGGTGTCTAGCTACCCTTCTATCAGCAGGTAACACATTACAACTGAACTATGAAAGGCTTAAACACATGACAAGATTGCTGTAACTTGTACAGGAAAAACAAAAGACAACTTCTGTCTTTCACTGTGCACCTCTGCCCAGATCAAAGCATGCATGTGGCAAAATGCATAAACAT